TCGCTAGCCGCCTCTCTCAAACAGCCTTGAACCTTGACTCAGCACAGTGCCTAAGTGTGTGAATAATCAGGGCGTATTATATTTAAACTAGGTGTCCTGCTGTTAGAGATATCGCGGGGTGGGGGTGCGGGGGGCGGGGAAGAGAATCAGAAATATAGGATACACTGTTTGCTTTTCCAATTACTGTTTTGCTGTCTACAATAAAGCTTACATCTTTTAAAGAGTCGTTTCAGCTAATTTGGAACCCAGCAGTGCAGCGAACAGTGAACGAGGACAGATTTAGTTACCGATGCGCAGAGGGGATGGGGAGTCCCTTTGCATGCGTTCCCTGTCAGGTTGTTTCCTCCACGAAGGAGAATAGCATCGTTTCTCCTGAAGTGGGCCTTCATGCACTGGCAGAGAGCTATTAAAACACAATAATACAAATACATGTCTTAAAATTGCAGATGGGGAAAGGCTAAGGATTTCCTGTTGATCTGGTAATTTAATTGAATGTGACTTGTTGAATTTGGCACCAACCACATCCTCTCTCCCAATTCTTCCTTCTGTTATTTGTTAAATCCAGTTGTTATTTATTGTTTAAATATTTAGTTGTTTGCATTTGGGGTTGGTGAGTCTATCTTACTACGAGAAACATGAACTACTGGGGGTCGGACTTGATGATCTGATCAGGTCCCTTCCGACCCTACCAGCTATGAAACTACGAGAGACATGGCTATGCAGCATATTGCCTGTTTAGTAGGTCGCTCCCAATGTTCATCTTTACAGAAGAGGACGCGGAGAAATACAGACCAGACCAGTCAGTCTAACTTAAATACCTAAAAGGACACTGGAGCGTGGCATCCATCAGTCAATCAGTTTCTAAGGAAGACGAGAACAAAGTGATAGTATCAGCCAACATGGATGTGTTAAGAGTATGTCATGTCTACCAATCTGATTTTTCTCTCTGACAAGTAATGGGCGATGTGAATGGGTGCAGTGACTGTGACATACCTGGACTTTAGCTAGGATTTTTCCATTATCTCCCACCACGTTTTCATAAACAAGTGAAGGAAGTACAGTCTGGATGAAATTGCTGTAAGGTATAATTAGTTGGATCATCGTGCTCAGAGAGTAGTCATCAATGCCTCAATGTCAAACTGGGAAAAGGTATCAAGTGGGGTTCCTCAGCGGTCAATCTGGGCCCATGAATAACTTTGTTAACCACCTGTAGATCTGGCAAGTTTGTGGATGACATCAAGCTGGATGCGTAGCAGATGCTTTATAGTGGGTAGGATTCGGATTTAAAGTGGCCTTGATAAACTGGGGTGTGGGGGGAGTCTGAAATAAGTAGGATGAACTTCAGTAAGGGCCACTACAAAGTATTACAAGTAGGGTGGAAGAGTTAACACCTACATCAAAATGGGAAACAACTGGCTAGGCTGCAGAACAGGATCTGGAGTCATAGTGGAGCAGAAGCTGAATATGAGCCAACCATGTAGTGTTGTTGCAAGAAAAAAATGGAAGTGCATATTCGACTGTATTAACAGTCACATTATGTACAAGTTACAGACATTGATTTTTTTTTCACTGTATTCGACATTGGTGAGTCTTCACCTGGAATATTGTGGACACGTTGCATAAGGTAATGGTAGACAGAGTGTGTATGTCATTCTAGCAAATCCATGTTCTCATGTGAAAAGCTGCTTTTCAATGAGCCGAATTTGACAGAATATAGCTTTTTGCTTCAGTGCTTGCCTGAACTTCTCTCCTTTGCATAATTGGCAATAGAGAGATTCTGGAGGAAAATCACATGCATTTTGGAGGAAAAAATTCTGAACCTGCAGTAGAAATAAATATGAGGGTCATCGTCCCGAGTTTAGAAATCATTATTTTTCTGTGTCATATAGTTGGATTAGACCACCGCGGTTGTCTAGTCCATCACTGCACAGACTCGGGATTTTCTGTTCCTTAGCCATTCCTGAGAGATGCCCACCCTACCTCTTCCAAAAGGGAGATTTCACGGTTTCCGTAGGTAGGTTGTTTCATTGTCTCCTACTGATCTTAACATTAGAACTTTTTTTTTACTGAGAGTTGAGCTACATCTGCTTTGCTGTAGTTTAAACCTATTGCATAGTGTTCTGCCCTTTTTTCATAGATTTCATAGACATCAGGGCTGGAAGGGACCTCAGAAGATCTTCGAGTCCAACCCCTGCCCCAGGGGCAGGAAGTCAGCTCGGGTTATAGGATCCCAGCAAGATCAACATCCAAATGTGTCTTGAAGGCATTCAAAGTAGGTGCTTGAGCTGCCTTTGGCAGCGGCCTATTCCAGACCTTGGGGGCTCGGACAGTAAAGAAGTTCTTATGTCCATCCTGAAACGGTCATGGAGGAGGTTGTGACCATTCGACCTTGTCATCCCTTGGGGCGCTCTGGTGAACAGACATTTCCCCAGATCCTGGTGAGCACCCCGATAAACTTATAGGTATCCACCAGATCACCCCTGAGCCTGTACTTTTCCAGGCTGAAGAGCCCCATGGCTCTCAGCCTCTTGTCATAAGGTCTGTTTTCCTGACCTCTGATCATGCGCCTGGCTCTTCTCTGGACTCTCTCAAGCTTCTCCACATCCTTTTTGAATTGTGGAGCCCAAAACTGGACGCAGTACTCCAGCTGCAGCCTCACCAAGGCCGAGTACAACGGAAGAACGACGTCCTGGGATTTGCTTGAGAAGCATCTATGGATGCAAGCCAATGTTTTTCTTGCTTTACTAGCCACAGCATCACATTGAAGGCTCATGTTCATCTTGTGGTCAATCATGACCCCCAAGTCCCTTTCGTCCATAGTGCTAGCCAGTGTAGCAGTGCTGAGCCTATAAGCATGCTGCAGGTTTTTCTTCCCAAGGTGGAGAGGGAGGACTTTTTTTTCCCTTCATCCTCTTCATGGTGATTTTTGAAATATTGGAAAATGGATATCACATACCCTATTTTGTCTCTTCTCCATCTCCAGACCAAGCAAACCTAGCTTTCTCCATCTTTTCTTATGCAACTTGCATCCCAACCACTCCAGTCTTTGTCATTTGCCTCTGGATTCTTTCCGGTTTCTATACAACCTTCTTATAATGTGGTACCCAAAGCTGAGCATAACAGTCCAACTGAGGCCTACCTGGCACTGAATCGAGTAGCAGAGTAGCACTATCACCTCCTATCTCTTGTATACGCGTCTTACATCAATGCACTCGAATACTGTATTTTGTTTAGTGGCGGGGGGGAGTGACAGTATAATCTTATTGACTTGTGTTAAGTTTGTGATCCACCCTACCCCTCAGATCCTTCTTACTACTGTTACTATCTGGCCGGCTACCCCCAAATCTATATTTGTGCCTGTGTTTTTCTCTTTCCTGGATGTAACATGGTACATTTGTCTTTGTTAAATTTAACGTTGTCATCTGTAGCCCAGTGCCCCGGTTTATCAAATTTCCTTTAAATTTTAAACCTCTCTGACAAAGTATTTGCAGCCCCTCCCAGTTTGGGGTCGTCTGCTGCATGCGAGACATTAATAAGCACGTTAAACAGCACCAGGCCCAAAGCAGACCTCTGTGGAAGCCACTTGAGACTTCCTGCCACTCTGACATTGCTCTGCTAATAGCTAACCTTTGCTTGTGGTTATTCAATTAGTTATGCATGCACTTCATGGCGATTCTGTCTAGCCCATTTTCTCCAGTTTGGCATGCAGAACCATGTCAGAAGTCTTACCGAAATCCCAGTGTAGCACGCCCACTGGTTTCCCCTTAGCCACCCAAACAGTTCCTGTGTCAAAGAAGGAACTCCAGTTGGTTCGCCATGATTTGTTTCTAGCAAATGCACGCTGGCTGCTAGTGGTTGTCCCTTTGTCCTGATAGTTACCAATAGATTGTTTTATAATTTTGCTCTACTTATTTCCCATGTACTGAAGTCAGGCCTATAATTCCCAAGGACCTTCTCTTTTCTCCCTTTTTAAAGATGCCCATTGTATTAGCCCTTTTCCAGTCCTCTGGGATCTCACCCAGCATCCATAAGTTGCAAATACTGTAGGCAATGGCTCTGCAGTGTCTTCAGCCAGTTCCTCCTGTACCCTGGGGTGAGTTTTATCAGGCCTGGCTGACTTAAATGCATTTGAGCAAAAGTGGGCAGATGAGAATAGGACGGGGTCCAACGTAGACAAATGCAGGGTGCTGCACCATGGGAGAAGGAATCCACAGTGTACATACAGGCTGGGGAGTTCCCTTCTTGAAAGCACAGAAGCGGAAAGGGATCTTGGAGTCATTATTGACTCCAAGATGAACATGAGCCACCAATGCCAGACCGCAGCCAGCAAGGCCAGCCATACCTTGTCATGCATCCAAAGGTGCATCTCAAGCCGGTCCAGAGAGGTGATACTCCCCCTCTATGCGACTTTGGTCAGGCTGCAGTCGGAGTATTGTGTCCAGTACTGGGCGCCGCACTTCAAAAGGGATGTGGCCAGCCTGGAGAGGGTTCAGAGGAGGGCCACCCACTTGGTGAGAGGGCAGTAGGACAGGCCCTATGAGGAGAGACTGAGGGACCTGAACCTGTTCAGCCTCAGCAAGAGGAGGCTGAGGGGGGACCTGGTGGCTGCCTACAAACTCATCAGGGGAGATCAACAGCAAATAGGCAGAGCTCTTTTCTCCCCAGCACCACCACCTGGGGGGATGAGGAACAATGGTCATAAGCTGATGGAGAATAGGTTTAGGCTGGAGATCAGAAGGCAATATTTTACAGTTAGGGTGGCCAAAATCTGGAACCAACTTCCCAGGGAAGTGGTCCTCGCCCCGACCTTGGGCAAATTCAAGACGAGGTTGGATGATCAGCTGTCTGGGGTCTTGTGAACCCAGCATTCATTCCTGCCTGTGGCAGGGGGGCAGGCTAGATGATCTGTTTGGGTCCCTACTGACCCTAGCTACTATGAAACTATGAATTTGTCAGATGTTTAGAGACGCTCAATGAGGTGTGTTATGTACGGGATAGGCATGAGGAGCTCTGGTAAGAAATAGGGAGATTTGAAGTTGTCTCCTCAGGGAGCTGAGCTAAAACGCAGTTGTGTGATGGATACCGGCCCAGAATGACATGGAGCTCTGGTAATGGTCTGCATGTCGGTTTGTCACCTTGAACAGAATACTCCACGGGAAAAAAAAGGAAAGATTTCCTATGTGTTCACAGGTATAGGTGAAAGGAGTCAACCACCTGTATTCACTTAGGGCTAAATAGAGTCAAGGCAGGAAGGCTTGGGTAATGGGTAAGGCCCTGGGTTAGGATCCAGGAGACTTTAGCTGACTTTGCAACTGAGGCCCAAGTTCCTTGTGTGTAACTTAGCCCTAATTGGAGTAGCTTCCCTGCACATCTACAATCGCCCAATGTGCCTCTGTTCTCCAGGTGCAAAATGGGGATATTGCTTCATAGGAGTGTTGTAAGATGCAATGGTGATGCCATGTCAGCCACAGAAGTGCCTAGGGAGGCAGACTGAGTTCAGTGCAAAGTGGGTGGGGGATAGTAGTGTGCTGGGGGATAGCTGCTTATGAAAGCTACACTCATTCCAGGCTGATCTCAGAGGGTGGTAGATCATTTCACTCTCTTTTGATGCACAGTTTATTCCCCACTTGTACCTGGCAAGCTCTGGCCTCTGCCTGCGAGGAGCGAGCCCTGACTTCAGCTCTCTACCCACTTGCTTGTTAGGACAGCCAGCCCCTGCTTCTATCTCAGCCTGGAGCTACCATGGCTCCTCAACAGCTGCAAAGCCTGAGCCATAATCTAGTACCTGAGAGCCACAAATAGTCTTTTTTTCTGTATGTAACACCATGAAGCATGGGTCTTATCATGCTAGTATGAATCCTTTTGTGCTCTGTGGATTCTTTCCTGGCACCTGGGTTGTAATTCAGTGGTAGAAGCCTTGTCTGCCACACAGAAAAGCCAGGCTCAATTCCCAGATGTGCATATAACTATGGCCATCGAGGTACCGAATGTCTGGACACAGTCTGGCCTTTGGGAATTATGTCTCAATGGTCTAAAGGAGGGATGGAAGGTTTGGGCAGCCTCCACTCCTCCATACTCTTGCCTAAGTGTATGCATCAAGGGTCCTGGTGACCTCTCATGCATACTCCATGATCCAGAAGGGTCGATGGTTGCCTACTAAAAAAGGACAGCGCCAAGAAGCAATGCAGAGGAATTGCATTGCAAAGGAATGCAGAGGAATCTACAGCAAGCTGCAGCAGAGGAAATGTATGTTGGAGTTTAAGAGAAATGTGTGGACTATGAAGGTGGCCAAGCGATGAAACCGGCTACTGAGAGAAGTTGTAGTCTCCAGATGCTTCGCTGGGTTGGTTGAGCCTGGGACAGTCTGCCTGGAGCTGGAGGCTGGACTAGGTAACCTCAGGAAGTCCCTTCCAGCCTGACTTATCTGTGATTACTTCTGAAAAAAAAATAAAGAGTAGTAACTACGCAAATGTTGCTTTTGACTCCTCGCATGTGAGCCAGTGGTAGCAGGGTGCACTCAGGTGTATGCAGTCTCCAAAATTATTTTCAGAGCCTTCTTGGTGTATTGTATAAACTGAAAGTTGTTGCCCTTGCCAGTAATGAAGCAGTATGTATAGATGAATTATCTGGCATGCATATTTACTTCCTTGTCGGAGTAGATCCTTGAAACATATTTAGAACCAGCAGCACGAAATAGCATAATCTGAGACTTCCCGGCTATAATAAAAAAGTGTTAATAAACTGTTGTGTGACCCAATTGCTCTTGAATGTCCAGAAAGATTTCACTAAATTAAACAGTGACTTCAAATTAAATATGGTCTCCTACACTGCAATTCCAGTCTCAGCTGCTGAGCTTCTCAACACACACAAAAAAATTGGCTCTGCTTTGTTATGGTGGATATAAATAATCAGGGACTTCATCTGCGTGAAGGGGGAAAACATTTTGTGAAGATTTTGCTTGGAGATCATTCGTGAAGCTCCTGCCAAGTGCAATCATCTCGGTCTAGCATTACAGAGGAGGTCATGAATTGAGATGTGATTGGTCTCTCTCCATCTAGGAAATACCTTTGTGAGATGTACTTCTACAGAATACCCCTTTTCATAGTTGGTTTAAAAAAAAAAAAAAAGTCCCACCAACATTTTCCAGAGTGACCAGTGATTTTGAATAAGACGCCCTTAAAAACTAATGTTTTGTTTTGTTAACCAAGAGTTATTTCTGAAAACCAAGTTCCTCAAGGTCTGGGCCTGAAAAGCACTAGTGCCTTCCTGAAAACGTAGGCTCAAGATTATTTATCAGGTTAGCCATATGGCGTTCAAAGTGTGAGTGTTGGAAGAGTCGAGTGTTATAGAGTCGGGTGTTGAGTGGCCGCATGTATGGACCTGGTCCAGGTCCGTCGTGGTGCTTTGCACTTAGGGCAGCTCATCTTCAAAGTGGCTTACAAAATGTTACTGTCTCATGGGGAAAGTAATATTCTCCCCACTTGTAAAATGAGGAAGAGGAGGAGGAGAAGGCCTGGAGAGGTGAAGAGACTTGGCCAGGGCTACAGAGAAGGAGAAAGAGTAGTTGTCAGAGTGGAGGCAAGTAGGAGTTGTTGACACTGAGCTATGCTTAGATCGTGGTTCTGGCCATTAAAAGGGGACAGTACAAAGACTGGAGGCTTCTTAAAAGTATTGGAGAATATCGGATTCCAGGGAAGATTTTCAAAGTGACGTTGCCCTCGGGGCAAAGCAGCGGTGTAAGGCCTAAACGCCAGTTAATTCCCACTTGATCCTTTCAAACAGCTCCTGGGTTTGTATGTCATGGCTGCAGGGGGTCAGACTCTGTGACCCAGGAGATCACTTCCAGTCCCGAGCCCTATGTTTCAGTCTCCAGCCGAGAACGCAGATACCTAGACTTGGGGAATGGAAGGCTGGTTAACATCTGTGAAAGTTGTGTTTGAGGAAGATCATCATTTTAAAGGTGTAGCTGATGGTTCTTGCTATTGCTTGCCTAATGCATGATAGCTGAACTTGCAAACTCAAGTGAGGAGGGTTGGGCATGATTTTACATACGAAGCACAATTATGAGTTCTGGCACTGTTTTCTACTGTGTTATGCATTAGGGACTAGATGCTTCATAGGGTTTGGTTCTTTAGCCTACTGCAAAGATGAGGGTTTGCAACATAACTGGAGAGGTACATGGAGAGCTGCAGCAAATAGCTTTACACTGCTGCTGAGATGCTCCAGCTAATTCCTACAGCTTCTGTTTCGGCGGGTGCAGCATCCCCAGTCAGACTAGCTGCATGGGAGCACTACCAAGCTCCAGCTGACCATAGAAATGGGGCCTTTTGAAGCAAAAGCTGCATCAAACAGCTGAGCAGCGTGTCCCTCATTTAGCAACCTGCTGTGAACCTGCTTGTGCACAAATAACCAGTGTTTTGCTGTATGTTAGTAGTGGCACTACAGCATCCTTGGAGGTTTTTAAGACCTGGCTAGACAAAGCCTTGGCTGGGATCGTCTAGCTGGGGATGATCCTGGTTTGGGCAAGGAATTGGACTAGATGTGACCTCCTGAGGTCCCTTCCAGCCCTCATTTTCTGTGATTCTATAAGCATGACTTGAGATTTGCCAAGCGTGCTACAGTCAGCTCACCCATGAGATAAGTGTGTAACTTGTGTCAAGCAAGGGCCCTGTTGCATGCGTTTGTCTGCATCTGCATGTCTGGATGTTACTGATTGACATGGAATTACTTGCTAGAGTGCTGTGTGCCGATTAGGTAAAGAAAGATATTTTTCTGTGAGTCTGTTGCATTGTGGCACAGTTGGCAGTTTACTAGTGGGTTGTATATATTCAAATAGGAAGGCTGGCATAATTGTCATACCACAGCCCTTTCAGTAATGGCAAAATCGGGGGCTCCTGCTCTGGGCATGAATGATGCCACAAATGCGTGCAGTGCAGCCACAACTACCCACCAAATGCATGTCTTAAATCTACCCAAATACCACATGATCTGTGATTGAGATGGAGACTGTTACGTGTTGCTTGTCTGTTGACAACCCTGAGGAGCCTCCAGGCTAAAATAAATCTGCAAGTCTGTATGAGACACTCCCCATGTTCACCATATAGATGACAGCCAGATTCAGACGACTGGGCGGATGCTCTCCTTCTCAGCCATCTGCCTGTTAATGTGCTCCTTCGAGCTCTTGCTTAGAGAATACGGTGTCTTCCTCAGCGGCAAACTGAATTTCCCATGCCACCAATGTTTCACGGATCTGGGCCTTACTTGCCACCTTCCACCTCTTTTCCAACCCCAGCGAGAGGCACCGACTCCATTGTGATGTTGTCTGCACCCAGCAGTAGGAGACTTCCCTGAGGACACAGGGACTCCAGCCTAGCATGCCAGAAGGCATTCTGGTGCCCTGAAGCCTTAAAACTGAACTGCTTCCAGCTACATAAGTCATCCACATCTCCGAGGTATCACGAGCCGCAAGCTCATTCCCTGCAATTGTCAAGAACCCCGCACGCGGGGGGTGAAACATCCTGAAGGATACGGAGAGGAAATTATCCTCTCGGACAGCAATCAAGAGTGACACCAGCAGACAGTCATCTCAAGGCACTGCCTCCCAATGCCACGTGAGGAAATAGTGTCCTCTACTGCTGCCTGTTTCAGTGCCAGCACCCAGGAGGGGCCCACGTGAGTACAAATGCCTTTGACTGACTGTGCAGCCCGAATGGATGGCACCTGGTAGCTAAGAATATACTACGGTGTAGGGCTCTTATTCCCGCGGGATAAAGGTATCATCGTAAAGCACCTGTATAAGGTAGGGAAGAGTTAAGAATTGCTTTTTTTCTTTGGCCAGGCAAGGCCACGATTATTGCAATGTGCTTCCCTCCCCCATGAAACGTGTGTATGCATTTCCCTGTCGAAGGGGTCTGAAAGCCCCCAGAGCGCCTTTTTCCCACAGGAGTTTACAGTCACACTGATGCAAACTCTTTCTTCTCAGGTGCCTCCCGATCATCTGTCATCCGATGCAAAGCCGGAGGCAAGTGCCCCAGCCCACGCAGTGGCATGAGTAGGCAGCTCTCCCCTTTGTCTGTTGTTGAGGATTCTGCTGCTCCCATTCTTGAGCTGCAGAGTCGAAGCCCCTCTGGAGTTTGTCGGCACAGCAGAGTGGAGAGGCAAAGCAGATCAGGTAGGCATGACAGCCGCATCACTGGCATAATGCGATGCCTGCCAAAGGCCACTTCCATCCATGTCTGAAAGATGCAGAATCCGAATGCTTTGACCTTGGTTTCTTGTGCTGTGAGCAGCAAAGCCACGTAGACG